GTCGTTAGCCGATGTTAAAAACGCACGTTCTCCAAAATAAAAACCAAGTTGAGAAAACATTTGTTTATTGCATTTTGCTAAGAAATCAAGTAAAACATCTTGAAAACCACGCCATTTAGTTGAAAACCACGGCTAGCCAAGTTCGCGCCGTTTCGCATGGTTTTCACTAAACGACAAAAAACGGAGAGTGGTTTTTGAGGCGTTTTTGTTGGAGATCTATTTAAATATGCCCAGAAGTAAAAACTAGTCATAAAAAGTTGAAAGCCACTTGGTTGGTTTGGACGCCAAAAACCAATGCCGAAAACCGAAAGCCGAACGCCGGTTTCTGAAAACCGAACGCCGGATGGCTTGGTTTTTGGCTTGGATGAACTCCAAGTGTTTTGACCCAAGTTTAAACTTAAGAAAAGTATTTTTGAACATGTAAGAGAGATTTTTATGAATTAAGCCTATAGAGCCAAGATTTGGAATTTTGTGCTGGTCTTGATCACATTAAGACCGACTCAATACAATTCTAGTTCTTCGTTCTTGATTCTGGGTTCTTGGTTCTCAATTCATCATGCCATGTTCCTTCGCCTTAGTTTTGCTCACTTTAGCTTCGATATGTCGCGGCAGTTTGACATTATCAAAACCTGTCATAAACGAACACAGTTTAGTACGACGTAGGCGTAAACCCGTGTTCCAACATTATTCTCTCCGTCCCAAATTATTTGTCTTACTTTAATTTTTATTCTAACTTTAATCACATAATGTGATTTCAAAAAAATACTCTAGGAGAAGTTGTAAAAATATGATATATTAAAACTATATCTTAATAGAATCAAATTTTATCAAAATTTCATTATAATGAAATACTCCCTCCGTCCCAAAAAGATTTACACGTTTCAAAAAAATTGTGTCCCACAATCCCTTACCCATTTCTATTAAAAAACCACTTTTACCCCTTATTTTTTCAAACTCTACCTATCACATCATAACTTTTTCTTAATAATCTACACATCACATCCTACTTTTACCCATCATATCAAGGATATTTTTGGAAAGTCAACACAAAATTATCCCTTCCTTAATTTTAACTTTAGTCAAAATCAGTGGCGGATCCACTTGTTTGGAGTAGGGGGCAAATGCCCCCAACTAATTTTATGTAATAAGGATAAAAATATTTTTTTAATAATTTTTATGTATATATATGCCCCCAACAAAAATCAAAGTGAACCCATCTAATTAGGCCAAATTTAAATTTTTATTGTTTAATTTTTCTTTGTAAAGTGGTTATTATTGCATATAATTAATTGTTTATAAAATAAAATTTCACCTTACCTATTTAAAAACATTTTACATTTGATAAATATTTGAAAGAAAAATCATATTTATTTATCATTTCAAATAGTCCATAAAAAAATTTTGGGGGCGCTACCCCTGGACCTCCCATCAATGCTGCCCCCATCTACTTCAATTCCTGGATCCGCCACTGGTCAAAATGAGTAACACTTTATGGGACAGAGGGAGTATAATTTTCTCACAACTTAATATTGTCAAAGCTCAGGCAAATAATTTGCTACGGAAAGAAGTACTCCGTATTATTGAAATTGATAGATTCTTCACCACGTAATTATCACGATTAGCAACTCTAAAAACAAAAAAAAATCACTTTAAAGGCAAGAGAGTTAACTTTGAAAAAAATTAAATTTGATTTGTCTGAGCCCGGGTTCGAACCGGGGACCTCTAGTGTGTGAGACTAGCGTGATAACCAACTACACCACCCAGACGTTGTGAACACTCTTCACACGTACGGTATACATTCTTTTTTTAATAAACTCTTTAGTACGAAAAAAATTCTCTTCATTTGTCACATTTTTTATTTTTTCCCTTAATTATCACACGATAAAATTTTTACTCTCTTAAAGAAATTGATCGGTTACCCATTGATAAATTATTCTTAAATTTAATGCAATCCTTTTCATGGGTAGTTTATACTCCCTCCGTCCGGAAATATTCTTCCCATTTTTCTTTTGATCCGTTCGAAAATATTCTTCTCATTTCCTTTTATAGTATACTTTTTAAGGCTAAATATCAATAATACTCTTCTATTTTATCGCAAATCTACTTTTTTAGTACTTTTTTAATAATAAAAGGAGATTTAAAAGTTTATAGTATGTGCATTTTTGAAAATTTTGCATTTTTTTACTATTCCTTAATAAGCGTGCCAAGTCAACACGAGAAGAACATTTCCGGACGGAGGGAGTATAATTTCTTTATTTTTTATACAAAATTTAGTGCCAAAATTTTATCTTTTTGTTTTTAAAATTTCCTAAAAATTAAAGTAGGAAATAAAACATTTATTCGTGACGAAGAGAATAAGGGGGATGTAGAATATGGTAAGAATTAAAACCTACCTTGTTTGGGAAAATAAAGTGAAATAGGTAAACAGATGGGATGAAGGTAACCTAACCGTGTAACAATGGAAAATATGATTTCCTAGAAAACTTAAATAAGATGTAAGCCTTTTCCACTGCCCTCTCCTTTCTCTTCCGTTTTTTTCTTTCTTCCACCTTCCAGCGCAGCTAGAGGTGGCAATCGGATCAACCGGATCGATTTCGGGTTGGATTTTTTCGGCTCGGATATCTTTTGGTTATATGTTATAATCGGTTCGGTTCGGTTCGGATCGGTTAAGTTACGGTTCGGATTTGATTTCGGTTCTATACATTTTTCTGTTCGATTCGGTTTCGAGTCGATTCAGATACGGTTCGGTTATAAATCGGTTCGGATAGATTTTGGTTCGGATACAATTTGAGTCGGATATATTTCGGTTTCGGGTCTAGTTCGGTTTGGATATATTTCGGTTTCGGATCAAATATATTTTGGATATATATTATTTTCTAATTTTCCCCTTTCTACTTTTTAGTCATATTTTACAAAGTTGGACTACAAATTAGGAAAACATATATATTTAATTATGATATAAATTTAATATAATTAAATTGATTTTAAAATTTAGTTTTGAAATATAAAAATTTTCTCACATCTACTAATATACTTATGTATATAAATGAAAGCTATTTTCTATTTAAGTTTATCAGAATACAAGGTAAACTTATCTTAAACCATTTTTAACTCATTTTAACCCACTTTAATAGTGAATTTTATTCAATTGAGTGCAAAATTTGTAAATTGTTGAGTATATTTGGTTGAAAATAGAGAAAATTAAATTTAATAGAGTCAAATATAATTAATTTTACACCTAAATGTAATGGTATAGATCAAATTTGAAAATGATAACAGTAAAGGCTGCCGCTAGAGAGTCTTTTCAAAATGCTAACACTAACATTTAATTTTATTGACTAATATTGAGTGAATTGGTTTGAAACTAATCAAATTAACTCTCAAATCAATAAAATTTATTGTAATGAGATGAAATTAGGATAAAATCTAATTATTCCATATAATTCATCATATATATATATATATATATATATATATATATATATATATATATATATATATTCCTTTCGTCCCAAAAAGAATATCACACTTCACTATTTAAAAATTACGGAAATTTTATTTGTTTGTGCGTTATCATTTATATGTATAACTTATCTTTAATTTCTACATATAATAAATTTAAGGCATAAAAATCTGTACTTTTTTCAAGAAGATAATCCATTTTACGAGGGAATGAGCAAGTAATGTAACTAGTTCAAATGGTAAAATAAAAGTAAAAATTTAAAAATATAATATGCTTATTGAAAGGTAAACATAGTTCTGAATTTATCGATTTTAGTTCTAATCGAGTTCGGATATTATCGGTTTCGGATTTTATCGGTTTTGGGTATTATCGGGTCCGGATCTAATCGGTTTCGGGTTTAATCGGTTCGGATATTATCGGTTTCGGATCTAATCGGTTTCGGATTTAAATCAGATATGAATTATTTAGTTCAGTTTCGGTTCGGTTCGGATCATTTCGGGTTTTTGGTTATAGATCGAATCTTCATTTTTCGGATCATTCCGGTTTCGGTTTCGGATATTTCGATTCGGGTAATCGGTTTCGGTTCTGTTTTGCCAGGTCTGCGCAGCTCCCAACGCCTCCCACTTCTTCATCTTCTTCCGTATCTTTTTTTTGCTAAATATTGTAACTACATGTTTTTTTTCCTGATATTTTTCGGGTTTCCCCTTTTTTCAGTTTTCTTTTTGCCATTTTTTCTATTTTTATTTCATTTTGGTGTTTTTATGCTTTCTTTTCGTTTTTTTGCTGTATTGTTTTGTGTTTTTTTATACGTGTATTTTTCTGCTGTTTTTTGTATTTTTTTTTCTATTTGTTTTTGGGATTTTTTTATACGTTTGTTTGCCTTTTTTCTGTATTTTTTTGTTTTTTTGTTCAAGTAGAATGTTTGAAATTGATGCATATTTTTTATCACATTTACCTTATAAATAATTATCAAAATATTATTTTATGTATGTAATTTTATGTATAAGGTCAATTATGATTTGACGAAAGTCACTTTAAGCACACGAGTACCTAAGTAGAGAGTAATTTTATTATTTATCGTATCTCACATTATCTAATAAATATACAAACACAATTTTTTAATTCATTACCTTATTTTACTTATCTTTAATTACATACCTTAATTGTCCACCATTATCTACCTAATAAAATTTGAGAAATTTACTTAAATATGACTAATACATAATAACTTTTTTAATATAGAACTATACGTTTTTATTTCCCAATGTATGGTCATTGATCATTATTCATTAGTCATTATTCAAATAAATGTCCATCATCACTAAATATTACTCCCTCCGTCTGGAAATATTCTTCCCATTTGACTTTTCTTGGTCAAAGTTTATAAAGTTTGACTATGATATATGAAAAAAATACATTGTATCACGATATAACTTTAATATGAATATATTCCTTTTGATATATAGTTTTCAAATATCAAATTTTTACAAAATATATCTATGTATAAATAAAGATATTAGTGGTCAAAGTACAATCTTGGAGACCGTAAAAAGTCAAATGGAAAGAAAATTTCCGAACAGAGGGAATATTAAATATTATTTAGAGGATTAAAAAATTTAATTCTTATATTAGAAAATGACTTAAGTTTTTTCTTAAATACAAATTTCACATAAAACTACGTACCTCCAACCAAACTTGAGCTTGCAAAGTTTTCACAAATTCAACTGAAGATTTGCAAGGGGGAAAATGGAGTCATCTGACAGGTGGGAAGCCCTAGTCTCCGATGGCGGTGAAAACAAGGAACAACCGGCGAACTTTAAACACGAAGGCGATGACGAGACTCCGATTGGGGACCTGCCAGCGGCGTCGTTAAGGAAGGATCATATGCTGAAAGCTCTCGAAGTCGTGGAGAGGGACTCTATGGCCATTGCACAGAGCTTCACTTGTCTCTTCGCCTCCCTCCGGACTACTCTCTCTGAGGTCCCCCCCCCCCCTCCCTCTCTCTTGAATTCACTATAATTTTGGATGTTTTTTTGTTAATTCACCATAATTTTGAATTCACTATAGTTCAGGTGCTGTGAATTAGGTATAGAAAGTATGAATATAGATATCATAGATGAATTTGGTTGTCTAGTTTGGGATGTGGAATGAAATTAGGTTTTGATCTCGCCCGCTGGCCACTGCTGTGTCTTGGGAAGTAGTATATCAGTCACGGATGGATTCTGCAATTGTTGGCGGTGGAATAATGTGTAGCCAAACCATAGGGGATTAGGGTTTTGGAGAATTGGTTTTATACACAAAGTGACAAAACAATAGGTATGTGTTTAGGCATTAGGATTCTCTGATCCCGTAAGCGTTATACCAAACACGTCTTATTCATCAGCAGTTGACCTAAAAAAATCTTATTTTGTCATTCTTGTTGCACTTATTCTGTTAAAATATCATAGGAGTACCTTATTTTATGTTGTATCTTTATATTTTGTCGAGAATCTTTAGAAGAGTATGGGAAGGGGTTCATCGACTATTATATGGATATGTATTTTATTGTTTTTTACCGAAATGACAAACCATGTGCCAAGTTAATTTGGATCAAGAAAGTAGTTTAATACAAAAATAGCCTCGGTCTCCCGTTTTTTATACAGGGTTTAAGTTGCGTACATCTTGACCCTCCAAACTCCAACAGAGTTGGCATTATATTGGGTTTTTTGTTGTTGTAAAGTAACTTCATGTTGTGGAACAATGTGGTTTGGATTTGGAGGGTACTTTTTTTCAGTGCATCTTTTCAGAATCAAAGTGAACTTTTGAGAATATTGATTTAATGAATTTGATCATTCATGTTCAATATATTATACCGTATATATAAGTATTTTTATATATAATTATAAGGGATAGATATTTTGACACTGCTTTTATTTGACACCGGTCTTAACTTTACAAGGAATATATAAATATTGCAACCTTGACATTGGAAAAATATATTTTCCTCCTGTAGTGCAAAGATTGGCTTTGACTTCGTGATGCACACATGCATGAATAATCAGACAACACATCACCCAACACCAACAATATTTTGTTTTATATGCGATGTATGATTTGGTTGCAATTCTTTTTCCGTTTCACTATCCTTTTAATTACACTTGAATTGGATAGCTATTCGTGGTGGTACATTGCTCATAGGATTTTTGCACTTGTGCCGAGTATATGTTAGGAGTCCTGCATCTAAGTATTAAGGAGAAAGATATGCTTTTAATGTCTTGAATATAATTAGCTAATCGATTAAATTCAATTTACTCTGGTTTGGCTCATATGCATTATGGTCTAATGGAAAGGCCTAGTCCAATTTTGAGTGCTATCATCATATATTCATATGTAATGATGAACTATCTTTTACCAAGGAAGGTAGAGTTAACCCTAGGCTTCTCCCTTCTCTAGTTCTCTTTGTCTTACCCTTTTCTGTTAGTATGACACACACTGATGTGAAGAAAAAATGCAATCACCCTAGTCTTTTCCTCATTCTAATTTCTAACTCTATGTTTGTTTGTTCAACAGACTGAACTGCAGTTCAAAACACAAACACACACACACACACACAAAGGTGTATCAAAAAGTGTATCTTTGTGTTGACTACATTGTCATGTGTGTTTGTGAACTTTTGTAGGTTACTAGCAATTCAATTGATCATATGAACTGTTTCAGCGATGCAGCTGGCCGTCTTCAAGAATGTGGTATGCATGACATTCTCCAAACCTCTTTATTTGATCCCAAAACCAGGTGCATATTATTTGGTATATGCACATTATTATCTATGTGGCGGTTCACCACCCTAGGACCACCTTAGGATTTTTTTGCAACTTTGGAAGAGAGTATAAGCGCTTTTTCCCTTAACTTAAAAACTGCCACTGCCAAAATGCCATTTGTTCAAGTGTACCATATCAATTATCAACTTTATATGAATACAATAAACCCCTTGATAAGTGATGTACAATCATTGAAAGCTCTTTTACAGTTGAGTGAGGCTCAAATTTATTTTTAGCCCATGGAGGACACTCTTAAAGACCTCATCTTATCCGTGCTTAACCATGACATCTGCCCTTATGAAAAACAAAAGCACGGTAAAGACGAGGTCTTAAAGAGTGTATTACATGGGGTAAATAAGAAGGAGTGCACACAAACAGTCATTGTCTATTAGGCAGTCATTGTCTGTTAGACATTGGTGATGTCAACCTTGGTGTCATCCGTGGTGTGATTGCATGCCTTTTGCTCATATATACCTTGTTAACATTTTTTTATGCCGCAGCTCTTGATGCAGCAACCAAAGGGAACCACTATATAAATTCTAGCCTCAGGTAGTATAGTAGTACCTCCTTCCATTGTCACAGCTCTTTAATTATGCACTGCTTCCTTTTGACACTGATCCTATGGCAGATTGAACAAGGAGATGAAAGGAATTGAAAATCTTGCCTCGCAGCTGTATCCTTCTTCCAAATCTCTCTTAACCTCTGTGAACCCATTTGGGACACCCCCCCCCCCTCCCCCCCACCCCAACAGTGGTCTTATTTCCCCATCTATTGCCAATGGAGCTAAGAGTCATTATAGACAATTTTTAGTTCCGGACGCATAATGTACTAAAACTTCCATTTCCTCTTTACTTTCAATGAAGTTTTAGGTGGTAAATGCAGCAATGCATCTAGGGTCTAAAGGAAAATCAGAAACATCCTTTGTTTTTGAATGGGTAAAGACTGAATACATCTTGACCCTGCAGACCCTTATAATGTAGGGATTGTACTGTGCTGTTTTCCTTGAATGTCCGAAGCAAAACCCTTCGGAGAAACGTAGATGCTCTGGACACGGCTGTAAACAGGCTCACTCGTTTCCCATGATTCTTTTTTTTTTCCCTACAATTCAATGAGAGTGTGTATTGTTCATGCGGATCAAGTTGGCTTGCATGCAGAACTTTTAAGTTTAGCTTGAAATCCACAGGTAATTCACCAGCATTAGTAAATAATAATAATAGTAAAAATAATAATCACAATACTTAATTGTGTACAATAATTACAATTACTGTTATTGTTTTAAACTTTTCTAGAGTATCACATTGGAACACCAATTTGTTGCAGATGGTCGCCTGATTCTCTGTTCCAGCAGAGAAGGAGAAGATGAGTGGAAAATGGATGGATTCTTAAGTTTACATGGAAAGTAGGAGACAAAGAAATATGAGCATGTGTTTTAAAGACAAATCTATCCTTTTGTAATGCCCCTCAGTTACTTATTTCCTTTGAAAGAAAGAATTACTCGTTTATGATTCATATTTGCTTTGGCTTCCCCTACATAAGTATTAGAGTGAATTCCTGGTTATTGAGATTTATTTCCTTATTAGTCTTTTGTAAAAAATGTCAATTAAATGACTGTTAAACTTAGGGTCTGTTTGGGAATAGCGTTAGAGATTAGCATTAGCGTTTTGGATAAAATTTTAACGGTGCAGATTACTTTGAAAACGTTAATGCTAAACGCTGTCCGTTGATAGCCTTTTCAAAACGCTAACGCTAATCGCTAAAGCTATTCCCAAACAGGCCCTTAGTGTATAATGATATTTTTCATTATCAAATTATGAGAAAGTTCTCAAAATGGTTTTTTCTAATTAAATATTTTCCCAAATCACTCATTTGAGGTTATAATTATAATGTCACACCAGTTGTCGTAGAACTATTGTGGGGATTTTTTTTAATTATAAAGTACTATGTAGCTCATTATTGTTTATTAAATAATATCGACGGAAAATATCTCACTTATGAATCATTATAAAAGTACTATTCCTTATTGAAGACTGGTTTGGAGAAACATTTTATTCAATATTAAAAAGAACATGAGGTATATATTTGTCACAGGAGCTAGAGAACTCAAGTTTCACCACTTTTGATCTCAATGGCTTCCATAGACATCACAAATATACAATATATTACTCGTGTATATATTCGTGTCTGTGAATGTATTGGATTAAAGGTGGGGTGCAATTTGGGGTTTCTCAAGTTATTTTCTAGTTACAGATATAAATTTGTTAGTTTTGTGACTCGATCTTCGATTCATGCACTGCACTTGCGTCAATGTAAGGTGCCATCTTTTATATTAATCTCGGAAGTTTTTTTATTTCTTTGGTTTCTTTTATAGAAATGAGTCAAACAGAAATAGACAGTTCTCGTATAATTATCTAAACACATAAAAAGAAAGTGACTTTTGAAAATAATTTTTTTTCGTGAGGTAATTTACCTAGTTTTCAAATGGAACTTAACTATTACGTGCGTATTTATGTTGAGTTTAAACTTTTTAAGTGTAGATTTAAGAGTAGAAATTTAAAAACAAAATTTCCAGAAACATTTTTTTTCCTTACGTTGATATCATATGAGATATTTTTCAAACAAAATTATTTGTAAAATATATAAGGGTGTTATTATATCTATCCTTATTTTTTGCTAAATCCACTCCTTTTTTGCTAAATTGACAATTTTTTACTCAAATTTTTAAAGTTCGCAAATAATAAGTTTGTAAAGTTTGTGAACATTATGTTTGCAAACCCATCATTTCTCAAAGTTTATTATATTTCCAAGAATCGAAAAATGAGAAAAGTATGATTATTATTGTAGGAAAGTAAAAAAAGGTGAAATATTATATTTAAGTTGTGTTTGGTTGATAGGAAACGTAGGAGGAAACGGGAGGGAGAAAAATGAGAAGGAAAATGACAAATTTTCAATGTCTGTCTGGAAATATATAAAAAAAGAAATGGAATTAAGTTGAAGAAAATAGCCGACGCTAATAGCCGATGACACTAAAATTGCTAACTCTTAGGGGCTGTTTGGCAACTTCTGAATGGGTAAGTACTGAACCAGTAAGAGGTCTGAATCATTAAGTGCTGAACCAGTAAGAGGTCTGAACCATTAAGAGCTAGTATATTGCTTAACTATTCAAAGGCAAATGTCTGATCAATTCAGATAAGAGGTCTTAACCATTCAGACTCTGTATAATACTTAACCATTCAGAGGCAAATCTCTTAACCATTCAGACATCTGAACCATTAAGAGGCTGAAACAAACAGCCCCTTAGTATTTTTTGGCACTCTCTACGCTTAGTTTTTTGTTTATTTTTTCTTGTAAAAGTATTTTTAGTTTTTTATTCAATTCAAAAATATTTGTTTTATTTTATATTTGTTTTATTCAATTTAAGAATATTTTTTCGATTTTCCCATTCTCATGCTCTTCCACCATATCTCTCTTCCTCCTTATAGTCTCGGCTGTGATCGGTAAGCACCGGCGCCACTTTGCCCGACTTCAAGGTTTGGTGGGGTGGCTATCACCAATAGGATATGGATCAGGATGACGGGCAGGGAAGAATTGAAGAGACTATCAAACTTCAACTTCAAACAATGTTGGATACTCACATTGACATGGGTGACCCGGAGGGTGTGCAAAGTAGTCAATCGCACAGGACCCCTAAGTGTTATAAATCCGAAATTAATTTTAAAACATAAGTATTTTTAAAAAATTAAATAGAACCCAAAATGTAAATCTTGGACCGGGAAAATGATTATGTGTTCAACAATATTGAACATGATGATGAAATTAAAGAAAATTGCATTTTCTATATAAAAAAAAAATGAAGTCTTGAAAGCTTTTCGGGCCCAAAATGTCGTCTAAAAACCTTCGGATGAAACCCAGTTACTATAGGCTTATTGGCACGGAGTAAAGGCGTACAAAAACTTGTTGTACGAGTGATTCTCAAGAGATTGTCAAATGGATCCAGTGACAAACCACTACACAAGGTCATGCACGCAACATCGTTGAGGCCTGGATAATGAAGGATTGGTATGTCCCTATTTCTTATGTGTTCAGAGAACAGAACTATGTAGTAGATATTCTTGCCAAGATGGGCAACAATCAAGCAGTTAATTGGAGAGACTTTAAGAATTCACCGGATGGTTTAAGTGAAGCTTTATATGAATTATGAAGACAAAGTGGAATGTCGGTTGTCCAGGGCGAGGAACCTCTCTTGAGGTCATGGGGTTCTTTCCCCTCCATTCTGATCCAAAAAGAAAAATTTGAGTTCATTGAGTTTAAGATAAATTTGAAAAAATTGAAAAGGGGTAGTCAAAATTCAATTAGTTTAAGAGGTCATCCTATGGTGCTCCCAAATGGTTGCTACCATGAGTGCACCCAAGCTTCGCACATATGACACGGATAATAATCATCTCGCGACACAGATGATAATCATGTGTGCGAAGCTTGGGTGCACTCATGGTAGCATACATTTGGGGCACCCTAGCATTTTCCTAGTTAAAGAAAGACAATTGAGCCCCATACATCATTCATAACTCAGGAGTACAAAAAAGGGGAAATCTATCATTTATTTTGAGACTACTAAAAATGAAAAAATGGGAAGTTTATTTTGAAATAGATGGAGTACATTAACTTATTACTCCATCACACACAAGTCTTAACATTTACTATTCACACAATCAAAAGATATCTTTGTTCTTTAGATATTTTCATTGATCCCTTGTATAATCATTTTATCAAACCACCTTTTTTTATACTCCGCGCAAGATTTTTATGTTTAAAATATACATATTATTTTTAATTTTTTAATTCGACATTAATTTTAAAATAAATGAAATTAAAAATATCTATGACGAGCCTCCGTAGTTCCCTTAACCCAAATGCACCATGCACAGTGCCTTTGGTCCGGGGACTACAGAGGATGACCTCGGGCATAAATAGGCTATAATTCAGTATATGCTAATATTAAGCTTTGGAACAATATGAATCTTAATTCCAAGTATACAACCAGTATAACTGAAGGGTGAAAATTGAGCACTTCTATAGTGTTCCCCACACGATTGAATTCGATTTACGAAGCAAAGCCGTGAGAATATGTATTTGTGACAAGTCAATAATCTATTTACCCAAACAAATGCGGTGTATTCGGTGTGTTGTTTGGTTGGAAAGAAATTCCTGCAAAATGAGTAGAAGTTAGGAGTATAAATGAAAAAATGAGACGAGACGAGACACATTTGTTTCCTGCCAAACAAAGGATGTTTGGATAGACGATTGACATGTTATACGATTGCATATTTTTATCTTTTGATTTTGCTTATGAAATCGTAAATTTTTTATGTATCGAGATATAGATAAAGCCTCACGAAGCCCTCTATCTAAAACATACACTAAGGTTCAATCAAAGGGCAGAAGTGGGGGCAGGATTATACCTTCATCTCCCTCTCAGGGCAGCAAACTGGGCAGCAAACTGGGCAGCCAAATCTTCGTAGTCCGGTAATTTTGGATGGACATGCCGTGTGTAAACCTTCGGTGCCACTGAAGGAGTAGCCTGTTCGTGTGGGAAAGAGTGAGATCTCGTTGTCTGTGGAGGCACATTACCAGAGCTCACTTCGTGTGGGGTTTGATTGGCATGTGGCTTTTTCCTCAGCTTTTCAATGTCATAGTCGGATGATTTCCGACTATAGTGCATGAGGAGTTTGTCTATCACCACTTCCTCCTCGTCTCTATGGGGGTGGGGCCTTGACCTACCGTCAATTTTCTCTGGGGACTTGTGATGGTTTCTCCTAACTGATTTTGGTTTTGACGCAGAACTTTCATCCTTGGAAGGAAAGGCTCTATTCTGAGGATGATGTTCTGATTCTTTTTCGTGGGAAGTGGGCCCCACGGGATGCCTGTTAGATTCGGAGACAGATTGCTCAGGTCCTCCGGCGGTTTTGTCTTTTGATTTGACATAGGGCGGAGGACGTCCATAGCTATAATGAGATTTTACGTTGTTACTGTTCTCATTGTCCCTTTCATTCGGGGGTTCCCTTGTTGAGGTCACATTGTGAATGTCTCTGTTTTTGCTGTTTTGCCCTTCTTGCTTTTCATACCCGTACTTCTCTTTCTTAGTTCTGTTGTTTTCGACTATAGGTTCATCCCTTTTGGGGAGTTGAATATCATTCTTTCCTGCCACTGAATGGGTTCCCTCCTTGTTGGCGATCAGTTTATATTCATTAACTTTTTCCTTCCTCCCACCAGATGAATGATCATCCCGCTTGGCTTCACTGTCTCTGCCATGTGTCTGGGCATCCTTTGAAGCCTCGGGTTTTTTTTCTGACAAAACATTCTGGCCGTTGGGTTTCGAGAAACTGCCATTTTGGCTACGGAGATTGCGGTTTCCAGGAGAGTGTGAAGGTTCGACCTTGTTTGCCTTTCCCTGTGAATTAACCAGAGTATTAAAAATCATTTATCTCTTACTTATTCAACTGCTCAA